GAGATCTCACTTATAAGTAAATAGTGTTGTTTTACAATTCCTTTTTACTAAACCCCACCCATTTCTAGATATAAAGATGCAAATAGGTTCAATTGGATGTATGGTCTAAATTTCATGTTACGTACAGGACCTCTTACCTGTAGGTAAATTTAGTTAGTGCCAGAAAAATCTCCGATAGCTATAAGCATACACTGTAGACGCTAGCTTAGCGAAATGTCAGTGCATTATGGCCTAGGTAGGTGAAGATCTTCAACATGATCACTGACTATATGCACGCGGATAAATCATATCTATTCATCTAATCGTACACTTCGTTACTATTACAGTCTACCTTCTCCCGGTGGTAACCAGGGTACCTCTGGATCGTGGCCCTCGTTGAGTTGCGCTTGATGAGAAGGATAGAGAGGGAAGACTTGAAGCCGTGTTAAATTTCGACCGAGCAATTTGATCTTCCTCTGATTTCGTGGGTGTGTGAATAGGAAGAAGTCCCAGGCTTTTACGAGGTAGGAACCAACTGTCGTTAGTCGTCATCTTATTTACCGCCCGAAAAACCCTCTCTAGTCGGAACGACGCCCCAAACTCGGGCTGCAGCATTGCCTCAGCAGACTTGCATCTTGTAAGAATCGCCGAGGCATCTGTCTCGCCTAGAAGTGCCGTCCAACGTCGCCATATGCGGCAGTCGTTGGACGCGAATGCATTGAATACAGTCTGCTGAGGGAGAAAATACCGAAGGGGCCGTGGAGATAGTAGGTGGTACAACAGGTTGTCTACCGCATATCCTAAGAAAGGATACGATGATAGAATTAGGTTGCGCTGGTCCCTTACGTTCCTCTGCCATGCGGGTGACATCTTCAGTGGTGAGGCGCTCTGTATAGGTTCCGGTGAATGATTCCCGCTCACAAGGGGCGATAGATCAGACGTGTTTAGGTATACTAAGATGGTACGGAGAAGGCTGTAGTGACAGAGGTCGACCATCTTGTGGCCGAGCGGTATGGTTGGCGCTCGTCCTAATGATAGAACAGCAAACCCCCTTCCGGATAGGAAGAATGATTTGACAGAGTCATTGATGGGATAAATATGCTGAAGTCCTAGCGACTGCTGCGCTTTACACTCCGCATCCGACGGCCTCGCCTCTAAGAGACCGCATGTCCGGGAGCAAAGCCATTGGTAAAATTGGGACGGTGTATCGAAATGTTTGCCTGTCTTCTGTAGCTCTTGCATTGACCAAGGTATTCCAACGTCCAACGCGGTTTGAGGATCATAGCAGAGCATAAAACTCGTGCGGCTCAATCGTACCGCCATTCGCAAGTCATTGAGAATCATGGGCTCCGGTGACAACATAACCCATCTCATGATCACCGTAGCATCCGCCTTTTCTTTGGATGAGAGGGTTCCTAAGATCCTCTCATATAGCTCATATATATCGGTTGGAAGCTCCCCCAGTACCTTGACCACCTCGTCGTGCGTTCCTCCGCCATCAATAACTTCGTTAAGGAGGTTCGTCGCGAGTTGTGCCCATAAGAAACTACATTCAGCCTTCTTGGCAACATTTTCCACGGCGATGGACCGCTGTTCCAAATTCGCCCTCAGACGGGACTGTATTAACCATTCAATGTCTTCGAAGTTATAATCTTCGAGGTGTAACTGAGTTATATTGGTTGGAACTGGTCCGCTAATTGGCCGACTGGCTAGACACACACTGAAATTCGAGTTTCGAGCCATTAGACATAGGCAATACAGGAGTTCCCGGATATATTCATCGTCGCAACTATCTTCTGTGTCGATTAATATGAACGTCCTTCTTGCCGTGGTCTGGGGTTTTCCCATGATATAGTCATCGAGAAAAAATTGGGCCAGATCTAAATCGGTTATATCACCCTCGTATGTACTAGATAGTCTCTCGCGAAGATCTGAGTCCTGTATGAAGAGCTGAGAGACCAGGGAACGAATTGTTGTGATTGACCGCATATTGCCCAACTTTGACTCTGATAAAATTCTCTGGTCGAGACTTTGGCCTTCTGCGTTGCAGTATATAATCGAGGTTGTAGCAGGCTTCCATTGTTTTTCCATTTGGCAGCGGATATGCTGTAACTGGGTGGACTTGCCAGAGCCTAGCTCACCCATCAGCCAGAGTATTTGCTCATTGCTGCCATCCTGGCGACGATACCAATCGCTGAACTCCTTTGTACTACATATTCCTTTGCATGTATTAAACGAGCTCTCTTTAAGGGCTAAGCGAGAGCCCCTGCCCCTGACGCAGTTGCTTTTGAGTCGCTGCAAGCAGTCTATTGTCAATTAGTTCGTGTGTATGAACGAAGAGTGTCGTAACTGCGTACTTATATCTCCGGCACTGAGCCCTCGATGCTATCATTGCTTATTAGTAATGTGCGTCAATAAATATTCGGCACTGCAATGCTACCTTGAGTTTCTCGTCCCTCACGATATCCTGGAGAATTTTCGATAGTGATTCGAAATCGGCATGCCTCATCGATTTGCCACGACACATTGTGCGATGGTGAACAGATAAGCTCTCTGTTTCAGTATGGCTGTTCTAGTCTAATACGTAAGCTTGTTTCCGACCGCTTACTTGAGATAGGGTACGGCTTACAATTGACCTTGTTATGTCATCCTGTCTCTCCTGATATGTCTTGAAGTTGAAATGGTGCCATAATCGAATAAACGCATCCTGTGATTCGTCCCATCTGGGATTGTTTACGCCCAACAAAGCAGGGAGCACAGAGCTCTCCACTTTGCCGCTGAAGGATGCCTCTGCCATTGTCGCCGCAGCGTCTGTCAAGGGCTCGTCCTCCGCAGCCCCAAAGAATATGACGGCGGCCGTAGAGCTCAGGATATCCTGTTCGCTTTGTGTATTGCTGGACTCAGCCTGGCGTAGCATCTATAGTAACCATTAGTATTTCTGCAAATGAGGCTGTGTCCACAAACCCACCTCCATGACAACTACTCCACTAAGGGCATGCGCGACGAAGACCAAGGGCTTTTGTTGTAAATTGGTACTATTCCGAAGCCCCACAAGCTCCCGAAGAAGGTCCTTTGCGTGATAAGAGAGATCGGGCTGAGTAGTAGCCGCTTCATCGCCATGGTAGAGAGTATGATATCCCCAAGTGATGACACGCGCCTCTGGACAAAGCAAAGGCAATAAGTCACGCGGCCAGAAGTGTAGAGATGGCGGCGCATTCAACTCAGAGTGCCGCGCGTTATTCCGTGGAACAGTAGTCGATCGACGTTTCCTATCTGCAGATTTCGTTCTCCTGAGAAGCAGCTTCCAAGATTCATCACGTGCGAGCGGCTCTGTTTTTGCTCGAGTAGCAGATGCTACGCTTTCATCGTCCTGCCAACGCCGTATTGGATATCCTCCTCCTAAGCCATGGATGAAGACAACACTAGAAGATAATTAGAAACTTAGACATCTCTAATAAAACAGCGGCATAACAAGAAAACGACCTACTCAAGAAGCATATTATCGCTCTTTTCTGGCTCGTAAAGTACATGAAGACCGACCAAGGGGAGCCCCTCTTGGAGTGGACTCATGGCAGCGAATCATGGATGATTCCTTCCATTCATCTAAGAATCGGATTTCTCGAGACGCTATCGTTTCACGTGCATCCTCAATGCATTAGGACAATAATTTTCGTGATAATGCCCAGTTAGAATGCATAGTGCCGTTAGCATTGCTTATATCTGACAAATATTAGGCAGTTGGTGCCTGATCTGCTGTGATGTGATCTGGCATGCAATATGTTGTTGATGGTGGGGGTTCAGGGTTGTATGGCATGCTGGCTGCCATGTAGGTAGACGTGTGCTTTAATGGAAACGAAAAGTCACAGCAAATAAACTATCCGCCTCATTCAACAAATCCCCCTGAGAATTAGACTTGCCTTATCCGTCTACGTCGTTTTCAGAATTCCATGTATATATAATCCGTGCCGCGTCGCCTTAGCCTGTCCGGCTGATTGATTGGCCACCCGCGTGCAATCAGGATAAGCCTGATTTTTTAAAGTACTAGGTAAGTAGACATCACAACAATGGTAGGGAGGTAGGGATCTAGATGGGCCATATACACAAAACATCAGGAGTCGTAATTATGGCGCATTTGCCATTGCGTTGTTGTCTCACCGAGACACCGTGCGACACACCGAGCGGGGAGTGTTTTAGCTTTTCCTCTCATCGCCTAATGAGATCGAATATCTCACATCCTTTCTTCCCCCATGTTACTTGTGGCTGAGGCCAGAATGATGAACTTGTTCAACATTACGTTTCAATACGTAGGCTGTCGTCTATCACATCTCCTGTCACATCGTGACTGGAAGATACATGTATCACAAAAATTTTCAGCAGCGTAACTGTATCAAGCTTCCTAAGTGTATGAGATTTTTGTTAAATACCAAGGTGCCATCGCCCGAGACATTGTCGCTAGCCAAAACTCGGTCGCACGCGTTGTAGGAGGTTACTCCAGCCTTCGATTGATTCATAACTGTAAAATAAGTCACTGAGGTCGCGAATGAGTAATTAAAAACTGTAATAGTAGGGTTCAGACTTGCACAGTAGTCACTAGTTTTCCTAAGTTGTGATCTACACTATTAGGCCGCTTGGTTTGCACATTAAAGCCTAATTTTACCAAGGTATGTTACCATTTTGTCTCTAAGAATGCCGTATCATTTCAGAATATTGAAATCCTTGAGGAATGCACCCCGGCAGGAATAGATATATATTTGTTTGTATTGCTAAGAACGTGGTGCTGAATGAACATACCCAGGTAGAAGGCTGGATTCGGGTTCATGTGTATGCCGTAATTCTATCAAGTAGCCAAATTATTCCTACGAGAATAGTAAATATCTAACGAACACAAACAAATAAATCATAACATGTATAGCTTGGTGAAGTCTTTTGCATATCTTGTTAGTGTTTGTTTAGCTCTATTTGAAGGAGTGATAATAGATTGAGATTTGCAGGGATTAGTCATCCCTAAACCCAAACCCCATTCTCGATTGGTCTAGTGGTCAGGATACCTGCTTGTCATTCTATGGCTTAGAAACAATGCGCAGGTGGCCGGGGTTCGATTCCCCGATCGAGAGATAAATATTTTACCTTTTTTCTTAACGACGCGCTTGATTCACTCCTAGATTATTTATGTGCAAGATTAGGCTCCATAGAATAATTAATTACCTTGATATTTCTTAGAATATCAGATATGTATTTAACTAACAACTACTCTAAGGGAGAGTGCGGGTGGCTTAAAGTTCCCAAGAATGAAACCAACTAACCTATAATTATATCACGTAGAGTTTTTCAGAGTAGAAAGAGCGGCTTCAGTTAGAGGTAGTTTTCCATTGTTTCTTTAACTACCAAACGCGTATAGTAGATTGGATACGGGTGCCCCTGTGGTATAACGTATATATATACTCTAAAGAAGGCGTCTCCGATGTACGTCGACCTCTCAGTTACAAACGAGAGCGATGTAATTGCGGGTAACTAGAACCCTAGAATCTCGTTTGCTTTCATTATAACTTCTCTGGCCCCAGGACCGTCTGATTCTGCCGTAGCAAACTTCTCAAATCCAAAAGCCCGTAAGCCATTCGAGTCGGCATGCGCCCGAAGATAAGACTCTGTCGGCCTATTCACATGTTGTGCTTCGCCTTGTCCGCCGGGTTGATCCGGGGCGGGAGTGCCAGCCAAAAAGGCTTCTTTTTGACGTAAAAGGTATTGGGCGTTTTGTTCGGTGATAGGGCATACCGGGATGTAAAGCACACTCGAGTCCGATTTCCCTTGGTGGACTTTGTCGACGCCATGGATAGCTAATACTATGTCAGTTTTGCAGCTTCAAGAGAGACAAAAGCTCGAAACTCACTATCACAATGCCACAAGACAAAATCGCCCGGCTTGACTTCAGGTACATGCACCATGCTTGTTTCAAGCTCAAGGTGTGGGTGGAGGTCATTATTCAGTTCCTGTCCCTTGCCTGGTGTTGCTCCATGTAGTTGGCTCGTCATCTCAGAGCCAGCGAACACCCAGTTGTCTGCCGCTAGGTACTCTTCGGTGGACACGTCTTTTGACTCCTTTATAGGTCTGAAAAATGGGCGGAGTAGGAAATACGCGGATGACAGTTGGTGCAGGGGATATACCAGCAGGGTGCCCTCAAAACCTTTGCTGTGGCTCATGCTCAGCCATCCCTGAAACATGCGAAACATCGAGCATGCTCCGAGTCCGTTGTAGTTATCCATAATGGCGTTGACTCTGGGGCTGGCATCCCATGGATCGTAATCCTCCCACGACCCCTCGAAGATCTTGTCATAAACTCCACCGAGCCCGTAGCCATGCTTCTCCCACCGTTCGACGCTACCTCCATCAATGTGGGGGCCCAAAGTGAATTTCGTATCACCAGGTTGTCTAATTCGTAGACGGTCTGCATAGGAAAGAGTCTGCGATAGCGAGATTGAGCTCTCAGGCTCCGACAGATGCCAAATATTCATGAACTTTGATTGCACCTCCAAGAGATTTGGATGTGCCCGTGCACGAATCTGAGGGCTTGACCAGTAAAGCTCGAATACTTGAGGGTCGTCCTGTGGGTATGCTACTCCTGCGGTTAGGACTGACTGGAAAGAATGTGGATGTTGAGATTTACCTTTCGTTGAGGGATTTTGTCTGACGTATTCATCAAGATCAGCCTTGTATGAGCGGGCTTCGTTCTCGGGTATCACACCCCTGACGACAACAACACCCTTCTTCTTGATTTCTGAGCGTAGTCTCGTGATGCCTTCCTCAAGGTTCGCGAATTCTAGGATTGGGATGACCCCAGACCCTTCTTTTGCGAGGATTCTGTTTTCCTGTTTAAGCTGAGTAAGAAGTCTCTGCCAGCTTGCAATGACCTGGTCTTCATGGCCAGCCACCAACGACCTCTTCAGATCGAGGAAGCGTTCTGGTAGCGGTACATTGCCACCGGACAACGAAGCAAAGGAATCGGCAATATTGCCTTCTCTTTTCGGCTGGTGTTTAATAGAAGCCATTGCGCCTATGTGTCGTATCAAACTCAGTCTCAGTGGGTGTAACAACTATATTTATAGACAGTAACCCTCAAGTATGTTAAACAGACCGGTAGTGGCCATGTAGTTTACCGAACCGCGTGCCGTGCCGCGTACTCTGTATTACCGCAATAAGTAAAAGAAGACTCACAGACAGCTTTAGTGTAAAAAGATCGATGAATAAACGCCGCTGATTCGTTTTAAGACTCTGGGGTAACTTTAGTGTCGTTAGTTTATGCGGCACAGACAAGCTTGACAAGATAGCGTTAGATATAGGATCTTAAGAACACGTTTCACGCGTGAATGTATTCTTATTGAGCCCTCTGTGATTGCTATTTCATCTATCCAGAAAGATTATATAGATATATATACACACACAAATGTGTCGGAATAGCCTCTGTAATGGAGGGCGATATGTCTGTGTCGGAATAATGACCGCCAACATGGTGTTACCTTTACCTGTCCGACTGCTGACGGAATACATCGAGCGGCTATATGCATAAGTAGATGTGTCTTGTCCTAGGGAAAAGTATAAAATGGCCATTACTAGCGGGCTACTGTCGGAGTCTTGCTACGAATAAGCTTTCAAGCCTGATAATCTGCTACGCCATCACAATTTCGACAATGCAGTGTGAGTGAGCGGACTAACCTGTTTCGGAAACTCCGCCGTATCGGAGTTCTTGGAATAAAGCGGACTAGATAAAGTTGGATAGTTAATCATGAGCTTTTGTGTCTAGTATTCTGTAGCAGTGTGTGTTCTTGATCCTTCAATACGGATTATTTACAATGAATACCTGCCCACTCCGTTTCACCTGGAATCGGAGAGACGGCGGAGATGACGAATTAGGTGACTACCGCTCCATCGCAGTCAAAGCTCAGAATATAATTCTGCCGTTGTCAAGCCATGGTTAAATTCGTGGAATCAGATACGACCGGCTTGCCGCTCAAACGAAAACAAGTCGCACATGCCTGTGAGAAGTGCCGTCGCCGGAAAAAGCGATGCATTCACACAGATCCAAAAGTGCACGGCGATCCGTCCTCCGCTCGGTCGCCCGACAATCCATCGGCGGCGGAGCGGTCGCAACTCTCCCAGCCCTCACCCGGCAATCGGAGTAGTAAAACGCATGTGTCAACTCCGGGTCTTTCAACCGGCGACACAGCTCTATCTTCTCCCGCCGTTCAGAATGGGGTGCAAGAGAAGCACGGAGAGGCCCATCCTTCAACGTATTACGGTGATTTAAATCCAGAGGCCATTCTGATGGAGGCTACCAGTCTATGCTCTAAACGTGATGTATCAGCGCCTGGCGGTCTTGGCATTTGGCAGGCCCCTATTGTTCCTCGCACAAGCATACAGAGTTTGAGCGTTCCAAGTGTACAGTCATCCTCGCGACAGGCTGTTCAAGACATGTTGCGGTCGTATCTGTGGAGTCACTGTCTACCGTGCCGTGCCCCGGCATCTGACTATGCGGTATTACGACGTATATATTTTGAGAAGATGAACCCTTTATTCCCCATCTTTGAAGATCCGTCAGTGTCCAGCAAACCGGATGAACCAACGGACATCCTGGTTCAGCAGGTTATTAGCCTTGCAGCCGCCAGTGACCCGGAGGCTGGCCAGCACCTTCGGACGAGTCCTAATGGACCCCTCCTTTCCCGTCAGGAATTCTGCGCCTCTCTTTCCAATTCCGTTTTGACAACATTGGAAGCGGGAGTTATAACGGATCGAGTTTGGCTCACTCGCTTGTCAGCTGCCTTGTCGTTATACACACAACCCACAAATGCTGAAGAAGCTGACATTCCGGCCCTCCTAAATAGTCGAGCTATTCATCAAATGCATACTCTTGGACTTCAGATGGCGGTAGACGACGGGCATCCGAAACGAGACATGATTAGGACGATTTTCTGCTGTTTATGGGCGCTTGATCGCATTACGAGCGCATTCTACGGCCGTGCTTGTCTACTACACGAACGAGACGTTGGCTGGGACATAGATGACTGCATCCGTGCACAGGCGCCCCCTTTCCGCCTACTTTTAATGATCATTAATCTACTTGATCAAGTAATTGGCTTATACCGTCCCGGAACCCGGCCGAGTAAACCTGTTCTCATCGAGTTACCTATATTCGAGCAGATGGTCCTGGATGCGGAGGCATTGAGGATGACGAGTTCTTGTCTCGGTAAGTCGGGCGTAATACGTAAAATAGAGGACAAGGTGCTAATATGTATCAAGCTTCACTGGAGGTATTTTATCACTCAGTTGGCATCTTATCGGCCCAGTCGCCAGCTGACTTAGCGTCATCTACCTTGCCCAACCCCGCGACGAACAGTCGAAGATCTCTAGCGGCGGATCGGATCACGTCAATAATTAGCGAGGAGTTTGCCGGACAGCTTTCATATATGCCATTTATACCCTATGCGGTGTCCCTGTCTCTCAGCGTGTCGTATAGGAAAATGCGGCATAGTAAAGTCCCCATGTTTAGGAACCGCGGTAAACAGGCTTTTCGAAAGAATATACTCCTATTGAAATCGATGGACGATATGTTTTGGAAGTCGAAAACTATGGTAGCCATGGCAGAGCAGGTTCTCAATGAGATGGACAAGGCGGTCGCATCGCTCGCTCAAGAGAACGGGCTGACAGATCTCTCAAAGAGAGTCGAGCCAGTACTACAGGGTTCTCAGGCACAACCGGAGGAAACCCGGGTCCTGGATTTTGCATACGACGTTACAGAAGCGAATAGCGAGTGGACACTGTTTGATGCCGTCCCTGATCTAGATTTATTTGGACATTTCGATCCGAAATTCGATTTAGGAGCTGTTGACGCTGCGCTAGAAGGCAACTTTGATTTTGGAACATCTATGAACTGGTTTGATTGGCAGCAACAATGGGCATGATATGCAAAAGTTTGGGGTGTTTTCTAAACTGCCGACGCCGTTTCGGAGGGCTTCTGTTCTCACATATCAGATTCCCTCTTGCTTACTTGATATATGACATACCAACTCAGTGTGCAAGTCACACCGAAGGTGTGGGCTAATCTAATGCTTAATCCTCGAAATGC